TCCCTTATTCCCCCCACTTTCCTTTCTTTCCTTCCTTCCTTCCTTCCGACCAATTCGCAGGCAGCAGAGGGAAAACAACAAGAATGTCAGAAAGAACGCAGCAATTTTTTTTTCTTTTTATGTGTGTGAGTGCATGAAGGAAGGAAGAAAGTGAGGGGGCAAGGAAAGGTCGGTTTAAAGCCCCAACTGCTGCGTTATTGTGGAAGTACATCATAATGATGATCCTCAAAAACTTACGTAGAAAAAAAAAAGAAATGGAAAAGAAAAAAAAGGAGGAATAAAAGCGCCTTCTTTTCCCAGGGCAGGAAGTTGTTACCGCCGTCTTCCACGATTGCGGAAATCGTCCTTCCGCTTGCCCCCGTATATTTTCCGCTTTCCGCCCACACGTACCAAAAAAAAAAAAAGATCTGGGTTAACCTTTCTTTTTTTCTTTTAACGGGGGAAAAGGCGCATTAATTCCTGCTCGTTTCCGGATGTCGTTTCCTACGGCCCCTGTGACTTTCTTCAACCAAAAAGAGAAGAATTTCCGTGTGGATCAGGAAATAAAACCTTGTTACTACTGCGCCAACTTTTCTGATTAAAGAGAAATGCGCTGAAATCACAATTCATTCATCGTTTTTCAAATAGACTCCAACGTTCGACGCGGCATAATTATTAATTGTAAACGCGTGTCAAGCAAAATTTTATACTCATAATTTACGTCATATTAGCTTTTTTGTGTGCTCCATTGTCAAGAAATTGTAGAAAGAGAATAACGAAAGTTGATTTGCATTTTGTTTTTATGATTACTATTGAGCCTTGATGACTCCAAACTCTTTTCTATGAATTTTTTTTAGGTCCTTGACTGGACTCCTAGAGAAATAATGCATTCGAAAACTCAAACTACCAAAACTAAAATTGTCTGGAGGCCATACGGACATTATTCTTGACGCAGAAAAGATAAACGCTATGAAAATGTACAGTAATTTGATAGTATTTTGAGAGGAAGTGCAAGTGTAATTGGGCCAGTAAACCCATATATCTCCATATCCATGATCACCCTGTCAACTCATTTAAGAAGATATTCAAGGCCTTGATTATCACCAATTGCAATTTCCTGCGATTCACCTTTCTTTCCCAAGGCAAAAAAATGCGTGTTTTCCTAACTCAAAATCTCCTCAAGTCAATATTGTATGCCCTTATAATTTTTTGTCGGTCACTTGATTGACGCTCGAATAGAAGAGTTTTGACCATATACTGCATTGCATCGTGTTCTTTATTAAATTCAATGAAGATTAAAAAAAATAAATTGGGTACTTTCGAGGGGAAGGAAAGGTGTTTTAATACCGAAAGGTGTTGCGGCGGAGGATTATTATTCGGCTGGGGAGGAAGTGACTTCCGGCTCGACCCGCGGCACACGCGCGGTCACCCCGTAATTGAACCCGTCATTTGCTTGCTCGCCACCACAATAACCAGCTGGCTTTCTTTACTGCGTGTACCATATATACAGTGAACCCACACACACACATTTATTGCAGCACTTTTTTTTTCCTTCTCTATGGCAGCAAGCATAGAGTACCACGTCAATCATTGCAGCAACTCATTTAGGATCATGCGTCGCGAGTTCTTGTAGTTTTCCTTTGATTTTCGTGCATTTCATGCACCTTTTTGTTGTACTTGTCCTGATTGTTTTTTTTTCGGGTTTCTCAGATTCAAAGAAATTGTGCTAGCTTTGAATTTTTTCGCAAAGTTCCTTTTCCGAGGGTGAAAGACGCACCACAAAGCCAAAAGTTTTGAAACTAGGAACATTTTTCTATTGAAAAGCATTGCCAGAAAAATGAATGCCTCTTCTTCGTGAAAAAATAATTATCGATATAAGATCATGTCAATGTTCAAGTTCTGTTTGGTGTTGATTTCAAATCTTCGACGGAATTATTACAGGACGATTTATTCAATTTCCGCTCGTCCATATATATTTAAATGGAAATAAGACACAAAAGTCCAAGTGCATCGCATAATTCAGTGCTTGCTGGTAGGAAACGAGGATTATTCACTGACTTCTCATATTATTCATGGCAAGTCTGGATCAGGAAATATGTTTCAAATGAATGAACGAACATCAGAGTGATTTCATGTGTCAGTCATGGTTGCCCAAAAATTCAAATCGAGGACATGAAATTTGCTCAAATCAGCACCGACTTCATCAGCAATTTTTTTTTTCGAATCGTTTCCAATTTTTGCTCATTAGTTTATTTTGTTCAAGAGCGATTGAACTCCAAGTTAAGTTGTCATTTTTATTTCTTTTTAATGTTCTTTGAAAAACATTTCGGTGTCTGTAACGTGCAGTTTATTGGTTTGATTGTCCTATATGGTTGAACCAAGCGACAGATTTCTTCACACCCTTGCGCAAGAAGAGAAATTCGGAGGAAGGAGACGAAGAAAGAAAGAAAGAAAAAAATATTTAGTATATATAACTGGGCAACGACTTGACGAAAAAAAAAAATAAATAAAAAGCAAGAAAATGGCGTATGGTTTTCTCGTGAGAAAGGTTGGGGGTAATTTCAACTTCATACTCGGTGCTTTTCTTCACTTATTTCCCTGCTGGGTGCGCAATGACCGGGGGACTCCCCTTCCCACGGGAAGTTGCCTTCCTGCCATTTCCGCGTTTTCGTGCCGCCGATGGGACACGAATTTCATTAGGCTTTCACGACTTTTCATGCAAGTGCCGGCTATAGCCTGAGGGGGAATAATGGGGGGGCAAGTCAAAGGGATTATTTTCCCTTGACGGATCATCAGTCCTACTCTTTTGCTTCATATAAGAGGCTGCAGCTGTTTTCAGGGAAATTTAAATATACATTACAGTCAAACCACGTTCAAACGCCTCCCAATCAGCCTCCATCGACGGGAACTGCCAACAACTTTTTTTATGAATTAATCAATCTTCCTTGTCGTTGAAAACATGGTAAAAAAAAGGAAGAGACGCCATCCGCCAATATTTCTGGTCAAACGAAACTGGTCTTCGGCATTATTTCTGCCTCCAATACCCGGAAAAATATTGAGATGTTGAAAATATTGCAAATATATTTCTGATTTAAATTGAGCCAAAAAATCATTGGGAACAGCAGATTGACTAGATAATGCGTGTATTTTTATATTTCCGCTTCATCTGGATTGAAGCAACATCTTTTCATGGGAAGAAGGAATCAATCTCAATTAAAACTTGAAAGAAATTCCTCCCTCAACCAGAGTTTTTGCATTTTATAGCCTGCCATTTTTTTTTAATAGATTGAAAAATTTCTACGGTAATTTTAGTTTTCTGTCCACTGCTCTCTTTCTGGAACACTTGGCAAATAAGTGAATAATTTTCAACGCCATCACAGAACGTGCATGAAGGTAATATTTATTTTCATTGTTCATCTTCTTATTGTAAACTGATGCGCAGAAAAATCAGGTGATATCGAAAGCATTGTGATAGGTAAGGATTTTTGTTGTTGAAAACATATTCACAAAATAAAAAAAGCACTATGATTCAAAAACCTTAAAATTATCAGCACCTCCACATAATTTCTTAACATTCGAAAGAAACAAATGCTTCTCAATTGAAAAAAAAACTGGACTATTCATATGTTTTATTGAGGCATTTCATCGTTTCAAAAACAAATAAAAGTATAGCTGTTGAATAAAATCCTTCGACATTTGACGATCAAATTTCATTTGATTATCCGGGCACCTGGAAACTTGCATCGGAACCCTATGTACAGTAATTTCAATTCTGAAAACGAAAAGCAGAAGAAAAAAAAACAATACACTTGATAATTGAGCATTTCACCCCCCGAACTCCCCCTTATTATTGTTCTCAGGAAGCCTCGTAAAACTCCTTGTCCAAAGTTTCAAATGAAAGGAAATTTGAAGACAACTTAATTTCCGTAGTCCTCTGCTGTGATGATTTCGAGTTCAAACGAATGGTTTTTTGGATGGGGTGGCGGAAAATATAACCACTAATAAAGGGTGATGTTTATCTTCTCTCCTTTATTTTTCTCAGGGTCGGGTTCTTGGGTTGCGTGTGGGGTGTTAATTTCTGAATTGTCGCGAAGTGGGTAGGAATTATCTCACTCGGAGATGAGAGAATCAAGGCGTGGGTGTCAGTGGTTTCCTGCTGGAAATTGTGCTGTACCCAATCAAGCAATTGTTCACACGCTTCGCTTGGGAAAGCGTATTTTGCTTTGAATCCCATTTTTCCAAACAAACCCAGAAAAACAGTGTGAAGTGAGACACCTATACATGTGGACAATTTGATTTGGGGACACTGAAATCCGAAAATCTGAAGCAAAATCTGGGAATCAACATTCCAGGAAAATTGCGAAATTTTCTTGTCTGAAATTTTCGATTTCTTGAACAAATCTTGCTATTGTTTATTCAAAAAAAATTTGACAGAAATTTGCCTTGAAAGTTTGACAGAAAAAGTTTTGAGTCTGTAAGATTTAAATTGCATTGAAATTATTGGAAGAATTGTCTACGGACTCACTGCGAATTTCAAGCGAAGAGGTTTTATTGACTTCCGACAGGTTTGATTTGATTAAAAATGCCCAAATTTTGAAGGAAAACTCTTCAAAATACTTTCGCGCTAAATCCAGTAGATAGGTGCAAAGAAGTTACTGCTCTTCATATAAGAAAAAAAAACTGCATCACAAGTTCAAAAGATATGCTTTTTTACAAATTTCAAGCACAATTCCACCTATAACACAGTTTCCGGTACATATTCTTGCTCTGATTCTCCCAACAACAACAAAGAACGTGTTTGCCCAGCAACTCCAATTCTTTCTGCTCGTCCCATGAAATTCGACTTGCGAAATTTCGACTGTGAATCATGTACAATACAGGTATAAATGGGCATTTTCATGATCATGTTGGGAACTAGAAAAAGTAATTCACGATCAAACAAACATTTTCGGTGGTATTTTCTTTTTCCTTTTTTTCTTTTTACAATTTGGTCTCCGTTTCCTGCGTCACCGCCGCCACGCATGGCGTCTCGCGCAAAAACCGTTGCGCACCAAGAGCTACAACTTCCGTCGCATCTCAAGCTTGAAATCTTGGCGTGGGAGGTGAAGGAGGGAGGGGATGAAGAACACACCAGCAAAATGTGCAGTAAAGTAAAAAAAAAGAAAAAGAAGCACGCTTCTATATAATACGACAGACCGAAAATAAAATAAATGGTTTAAAAAAAAAATAGAGAAAAATACAAAAGACGTGAGCAGCAGCAGGTGCAGCAGCGGGTCTTCTTCCCTGCATGCGGCAAACGCAATTTTTGTCACGGTCGCGTAAACCCAGGCGTGGCTCCCGTGTGTGTGTGTGTGTGTGTGGGTTCAGGTCTTTTTTCTTTGTTTTTTTCCTCCCCATCAAACTCAGTGTCTCCCCCCCAGCCCTCCATCACAGTCCTCCCAACTTTCGACAAATAACGCACGCAATTCCGCTGGAAACGCGATAAGAAAAACAAAATTGTGTCCATATACAGGGGTTAATCTACCTCTCATACAGTATACGTATTGCAAGGTGGGGTGGGGGGGGGGGGGGTTTGGGTGGGGATGAAGAGGCTAATCATTCCTCTTATTCTGCGGGTGGGTTCGCATCAGGCGGGATGCGAAGTTGCAGGTGAAGGGAAGTGCAGGTGTGCTCGAGAACATTTTTGCACCTTGGCTGCTCGGGAGAAGTGAAATCTTGACAAGTTACCTTTTCCGAGAGCGAGAATAAGAGAGGGGGTCCAATTTCAGAAACCCGTCATTACAATTTCTCGTAATTGTTTTCAACTTCCGCTGCAGCACGATTTGAAAAAAAATCTTGATCGCTTGCAGCGTTGATGAAGCTTAATTACTTGCGGGTTTGAAGGAGTTATTGTCGAATTGAGTCGTACACGTGAATCTCGTTTTTTTCGTCCGAAATATGTTATTGTACTGTTCAGTACTTACTTTTTTTTATTCCAAGACGTTGAATGGAATGCTAAAATTAATTTCCAACACGATTCGAGGCGGTATCTCATGCAAACCCCTTTATGTACAATACTGTTTGTCTTCTTTCGAAAATAAAATGGGGGAAAAAAAGAACAGAAAGGAAATCTTAGCTCAGGTCGACTATATACAAAGAGAGGACTTCATTAAAGCTTGTGTTTGAGTGCAGATAAAAATCCCGGAGCTTCTGTCCATTTTCAGGAACAATCAGTCTTGTGGTACGATGTTGCCACATCAGCAGCAGTTTGTGGTGCATGGTTCCAAGGATTACAGTTTACTGTTCACCATTAAACGTTGGTTTTTTCGTGGTCGATTTGCCTCCACGCTGCTGAATATACTACGTGTCCTTATATGTGTAATATATGTACCCGAACATCTGCTGGTCCAGAAGTGGCCACTCATTAATCCTCGTGGTCGAGGGGGGTTCGATCGATAGTTCAATTCATTATGGCAGTACTGTGCTGCACTGTACTGTACTTTGTTGAAGAAGATAATGAATGGACTTGTGCGCTTTTGATGTCTGAACTTGAACTGAACTTGAAAGGAAAGGAAAATTAATATTGTTGTAGGGAGGTTTTGACTTAGGAAAAAAATTATTTGTCAGACAAATGAAAGAAGATTGACAGGAAATTGTAATTGGTGATATTCTAGGCCTTAAATTGCTTCTTACAAGAGCTTATGACAGGATGCTTTCATCAACTGAGGATTGATTTTCTAAATAATTTTTTTCTTATTATTTCAAACGCATCAAGTTACTTTTCTTGATTGCATTTCTGTTTGCTGTGTCCATGAGATGATAGCCAAAAGGCCTTCAGGAAAATCTAGGGGGAAAGTTTTTGAGTTAGGCAGGTTTTTAATGCATTTTTATAAGGGAATAAATGGTTTTTTCTCAAAACTGCTATGACTGCAGAAGAAAACAAGAAGAATCGGTTCGTGATTGAAAATGAACGCAGATCTTCCAGGCCTGCTTTCTGTGATTTTCTTCAAGTTCACAAATTACTGACTTTACTTCAAAATCTTCCCTCATTTTTTCAGCAACTAAATATCAATGGAAGAATTTCCTTTAGTTTTTGAAAAGAATTGTTGTATAGCCAATGGTGTCCTAACGTTTTGGGATTATTTTTCGGATTTTAAAAACATATTTCTGAAATTTCTTGCATGATGATAGGTGAAAACTTTCCAGTTACTGACAGAATTTTTGACTCATTTCACCCGGTGCTAATATTTGTCAGGTGGTTGGCTAAAAATGATCAAGTTATTCCTATTTTACCACGTTTTTATGAACTCACTTTCTTGTCTGTCTGTTTGTCCGGATCAAATTTTGAAACTCAAATTTCACTCACTTCCAGACTAGCTAGCAAGCTGAAACTTTCAGGATAGCTTAGAAACTGATGACAATGCAATCTTTTGTGAAAAAATTAATTTTAAGAATATTTTTTAAAAAGAATAAAATAATTATAGTAGATTAAAAAATTAATCTAAAAAACCACGTTTTCAAAAAGCAAAAAATAACCTTAAACGAGGTGCGCATGGAGATTGTTGGGAAGAAGTGAAATACAAATGAAATAGATGAGCACCAGGTTTAAGGTTATTTTTTGCTTTTTGAAAACGTGGTTTTTTAGATTAATTTTTTAATCTACTAAATTTTTTTTACTAGTATTAAAAGTAAACTTAGAAACGATAATTTGCAAAACGACAGAAAATTTTAGTTTGTTACCGGCCCGACACATTTTCAGCACCCTGTCATATGCATTGAGAACTCGGGATGTAACTGGAATGTTTTCACGTATCATCATGCAGTAAATTGAAAAAAATAAAACGCTAGAAAGAATCCAAGAACCTGAGAACAGCATGGTCTATGTCAATGTTTTTTTTTTTGGTTGAAGAATCCCGCCTATATATTCTAAAAATGCCAGAGGTCTTGTCCAATAACTGCTGGGACAGCCCGCGCTCGAATCACAAATTCTTTATGATTCGGACAACTCATCAATTGGATGTAGTAAATGTTCTCCGTGTTTTTGCTCTGTTCTGCTAAATCATTCGCTCATTCATTCATTCATGCCATAATTTTGGTTTCGTTTCGTTCATTTGAATCATCAGGTGTTCAAGGAGCAGTGCATCGACGGATCCGCCCTCCCGCTGCTGACCGAGGACCACCTGACCAACAGCATGGGCATGAAGCTGGGCCCGGCTCTCAAGTTCCGATCGGTGCTGGCCAAGCGGATCGGCCAGTGCCCGATATGCGTCCATTGTATTCACTGCCACCTGTCGGGAGTCGACAAGAAGGACTGACACTCGGACTGATGTGCTATGCTGCTATATATAATAGGACGAGGTCGGGAACAGCAAGAGACGAGTGCTGCTGATTGATTGATTGATTGATGGATTGAATCCATCCTCGATGTAGTGGTAACTCGCTGATGGCGCCGGGGCGATACACTGCTGTACTCTGTACTCTATTTATAGTATGGAGGAGATCTCGGAGTTGTTCCGAACCTTGTGTGTGGTTTTTGTTTTGTTTTTTGCTGTGTGTTATTGGATTCCATCGTGCGCTACATTTTTCGTTTCTTTTTTCAAAAGCTTTTGTTTTCCTGCTGTGTTTCTTATCATATTTGTATCCGTATCGATTCTTCTGTTTCTTTGCATGATGATGATGATGACATGATTCGAGGGATCACGGGAAATGTGATGAAAAATATCGTAATTATTAAGGATGAGCAGAGGATCAAGTGTGCACCTCTGAATCCATCAGCACGCGACGGAATGTAGATAATTGGTAGGACTTCATCTGGGCGAATTCGAAAAAAAGGGGAGGATATCCTGCTGTGGGACCCTGACATATACGGACGATTCGATTTATTTAGGGACTCTTGAATAGCCGAGAAAATCTGCCCCGAAATCTGGGAAATTTTTCCAGATATACAGATGCTTTTGATGCCGTATCTAGAATAATTGAGAGATGAATAAGTTTTTAAAGCTTGATTGTCTCTTGAACAAAGTGAGCTGCTTTGTATTCACAAGAATTTAAAAATATTTTTTATGAACTCATCACTCAACCTCATAATGAAAACTGATCAAGGTAATTTTGTGATTCTTTTTTTTAAAGTTTTTTTACTCTGAACGGTATAGCAAATATTGTGCTTGTTCCTTATTATGCTCTTTTTCGTGCGGAAATATCAGGTTTGTGCGGTTTTCCTCTGCACATTTTTTTATGTACCTTGAAGTTGAGAAAATTTTTTTTATCCTATTTGTGGAGGTTGTTTCTATAATTTTTTGATGAACTCGAGAACCAATTAAAAAAGTTATAATTTACTGAAGTGTATTGGAAAACGTGAACCGACATGCGGACGCTCTGACATAGGGACAAGTTCCAGCAGGCACCATTCATGTCCGCATCTCGGGGCACCACCTGGAAAACTTACGTCTTTCTCATGCATACTCGTATATATATCCATCGAAGCAATGGTTTCTTTATCTTTGTTTCGTCAGAGCATTCAGATATAATTTTCGACGAGTGTCACAGAAAAATATATTTACGGAGATCATGTGAGACCATATTTATTTTGGATTAATGTATACAGCTTGCACTATGGGTCCCATCTATATAAGATCAGCCCCCTTTACTCCAACTTTGACGAGTTCACCCAGATGAAGGCAAAAGGAGTCTAGTGTCAGACATGTTATGCTTTTTTTCTCGATATCGGACAGTTTTCGAACCGATCATTGAAAATTCTGTTGTTTTTCTCGTCACCTTCGTTTTTTGTTGTTGCTTTGAGGGAAAACCGTTGTGATATTTACGCGCACCGCGTTGTCCGCAGGATGGCGCACCTGTGTGCGAATATACAGGCAATTTTAGCACGTTATGCTGAAAAATGGGTTGATTTACCTTTTACTTTTCGTTCGGATTCGCGCTTCGGAATTTGTTGATTGGCACTTTACCCGGTTCATTATTGGCAGCAGAACAAAAAAAGAGATTTCCTTTGTATGTTTGTCGACTTGCATTTGTTGGACGAATGAAAATCGAATTTTGAATCGACATGACGCTTTTGCTTTCTTTTATACATAGAACGTGTTGTACAGTGCATTAGGAAAGCTAGATCTGTATGTTCGTAATCGATTATTGTATGCGTGGATTGACTCACTTTGGGTTGACCTTTGCTATTTCTATAGCAGGCAGCTGTGTGAAAAATAGAATATTTGACATTGTCCATGCTATAGTAGGGTTAATTTGGGATATGTTTAAAGATTTTCTTTTAAGTTTACCAAATTATGATAAGGGAAAACCTTCCAGTTTTGGCCAGAGTTCTCCACCCACATCACTTGTGATGTTGTAATAACTTGTGTAACTTGTGAAGGTGTAATATAATCATCAGGCCAAGTGAAAATTGAAATATTGTTGTTTTTAAAATTAAATATTCCACATATTCTGCAATTTTTAAAAATTTTGAATGATTATTTCGTTTGCAACGAATCAAAACCAAAAATAATTTTTCATTTTCCAAGAGCAAAGAAATAATTTTCAATGGTTATTATTTTCTTCAAAAACGTCATGCAACGCATAGTCTGCTACTGACATTCTCCTTATTGCCTCAACGGAATTTTAAAAAACTTCGGCTTATTTTGTCTCATTTTCTGCTGAAAGTCTGAATGCAGGATAAGGAGACACCTGCTTAAGTTATAATAGATCTTGTCCCTGATGGTTGCTGGATTTTTCTCCCAGCTGCACATCGTCCATGTCTGATTCCCAATGACTGGAGTGTTTTTTTTTATTCCAGGGTTAAACCTTGAATCAATGCTGACTTTGATTTTATTTTTATTTCAATAGTCCTGATGCATTTCCAATTTTTGTGTTCTTCTTCTCAAAAATGATGATGAGAGGAACCAATCTAATTGAGGGATTTGAAGCCTGGAGTCCCATATTAGAGCAGTAAAAATAATAAACATGAAATTAGCTCAGCCAAGGCTTTAATATTTGACATAGGGGTAGTTAGCAATATGCTGTCATTTTGGACTGGATTTGTTCTTTTTATTATAAGAAGAATCGAGGTCTTCTTGATTCAGACGTAAGAAGAATCAAAGAAAGTCCGAGCCACACATTAGATCTTGTACCCTGAATAATACTCTCAGAGAAATCTAAAAATATCAACATACTATATTTTCGAAGAGCTGGAAAGTCTGTTCTCTAGGTTGCCTTTTTTTCTTTTTCAATATAGGCGATTTACTTTTATTCAATGGGGAATTCAAAGCGCTGAACCAACCAGCCACTAACCAGTTCAATCAAAGTCCCTGTTGTACTTCAGTGCAACTGAGAAACACACAAAAGAGGCACCCCGTCATGAGATTACTCCCGCTCATTTCTTCTTGCTGCTATAAACACTGTACCCCGTACCTGTTTTCTGGGGCTGGCATGTGCTTATTCTACAACAGTACATGTTAGGGTATATAACTTCTGCCTAAAAGTAAAAGGGCAGCGCGGAAGAGGACTCAGCTGTTGGAAATGACCCTGCTTGCTGCTCTGATCTGTGAGGGAAAGGTGAGCCGAGGTGTATCATATCGCAGCATGCAGAAACCTTGCATTAAAGTTCATCATCTCAGTGAGCTGCATGCCGATGCGCAACTGGTGATGTGCACACGCGAGAGCCCGCAGGTCTAATCAGAGGTCAGGCGACCCGTGTGGGTTGCCCTGCTGCTGCTGCTGCTGCAGCATCTGTATCAGACGGTAGATAGATATGTAGGCATGCCTGTACTTTCATCCCTCTGGCGCGTGGGGCGCCCATTAGGGAGGAATGCTCTCGTGGCGGCGGCGCCGTCTCCTGATGCCGGTGGCAGCAGCAATTTCCTCCGTTCATGGCTTCCGACCTATCGCGGGACAGCTTATTTTTATTTTATTTATTTTTGGTGGAATCATCCTTTTCTGATGCATCTTCAGTGTGCACTGTGCAGTTATTCGGAAAAATTAATTGAAAATGGAGAACTGTTGTCCTGCAGTCCTCAATCTTCACTTTGTTCGAAAACTTGTGGAGTTGTGTATTATGAAGTGAATGACTCCAGCAGGAAACCAGGAAAGCAGTAGATGATTTATCTTTCCAACAGCAGCATAAACAGTTTCAGAGTAAAAGGCTAAAATCAGGGGTCTTCAAAATGCCCCTTCTCGTACAGGCTCAAAAATCGTTCTGACGAAGCTCCCGAGAGCTACGCAAAATTCGCACCACATTCTTTCCTTTTTTCTCTTCCTGACGCAACTACATATTTAAAAAAACAAGAACAGGAACAAGAATTTCGCCACGCGCGAGCGCCGCATTTTTCCCGATTCCTCTCAGGCTTGGGAAATTTCCGGTCCCGAAGAAAAATTGCGCAGGAGACTTCTGTCCCCTCAGCAGCATCCCTTCCCGGTCTCCTTGACCAAAAACCTGCTGTAAAAGAAGAAGGCAAGAAAAGGAAAGCACAAGAACACAAACCTGGAGACACAAAATTCAAAACTTAATATCCCTCCAGGAATACATGCATTTTCTTCCACAATTAATAAACAATTTATGAGAGAGAGAGAGTCAGGTGTAGTAAAATGGATGTTGAGGAATTAATTGACCCAACATAACAAATTGAACCATAGCAAAATGGAAGAAAAGGTGGGAAATAACAAGGCAGGAATAATCAGCCGGTTTGCGGCTGGGAATATGTAATTAAGGGGGTACCTTAATTACATATCCCTAGTTTTGTCTGTTATAATCACAGTCCACAATAAATCACAATTAAACACAATACAAAAAATGCTACATCACAATAAATGCAATGATGCAAAACACATTCAATAAAAATGATAAATTTGTGCACACAAATTTAGGGTGCAATAATGCAACACAACAATTCAATCAGAAGAATTGGGGTTGGAATGTTTGGAGGGGAGTTAACTGTGAGAGCAAATTTTAAGGACTGATTATTGAGAGTGGAAGAGTGCTGGGTTTTTATGTGATTTAGAATAATGCTTCTGTCAGCTGACCTGACCAAAGCATTGGTCATTTTTTCTCACCTGCAATTGGCAGACAAAACGTGTAACAAAGAAGTTGTAGTATAATACCCCCGTACTGTGGGGTTCTCTACACAACCCTACTGCCAGTATAATACTGGCGGTAGGGTTCAGTACCCTACCGCTGGTAGGGTTGTGTAGAGAACCCCACCTTATGCGGGTATTATACTACCGCCGGTATAATACCGGCGGTAGTATAATACCTGAGTACTGTGGGGTTATCTACACAACCCTACTGCCAGTATTATACTGGCAGTAGGGTAGAGAACCCTGCGGTACGCAGGGTTCTCTATTGCCAGTGTAATACTGGTGGTATTATACTGGCGTGTGATTGGCCGCAGTATTATTACCGTGGCCAATCACAGCATTGCAGCACTGATCCAGCAGTCTGGATCCATGCTGCAGTAAAGTAAAATACCACAGTTTAGATGATTGGCAGCGGTAGTAATACTGCGGCCAATCACAGATCTTTGGTGTTTTATGATACTGCAGCAAGGATCTGGACCCCTGGATCCGCGCTGCGACAAACTGGTTTGACAAACTGGTTAGATTAACTGATGCAACAAACACAATGTTGCAGATTTTTATGTTTGTCGCAATTATACAAAACCACAAAATATAAATGTTGAAGTTAAAAATACTGTTAAAATAAAGAATAGTTTTTAAAGAATGTAACAGGCTGGTGACACAAAATACTCATGCTACAACAAAGGAAAAGCTGAAATGAACAGTTTTTGGCATTGTAACAGGCAGGCGTTTTAAAACACCTTTTTGTTACAATGCTAAAAACTGTTCATTTCAGATTTTCCCTGGTTGTAACACAGAGCATTTTAAAACACTCCATGTTACACCCAGGAAAATCTGAAAAATTGAAATTCTTGAGTGTAGCAGGCAGGCATTTTGAAACGCCTGCCTGCTACACTCAAGAAAAGCTCATCAAAAATGTTTAAAGTATAGGCGTAACTACAGAATGCCATAAAAATGCATTCTGAACACATTTCAGAAAAAACTTGCAGTACAGCAACACAGAAAAAAAAGAAAGGCATTTTAGAAGAAGCTGGGCGTAACAGTTATGCATAACAAATGCGTTTTGTAGGCGTAACTGTTATCCGCAGCAATACCTGTAACAAATTATTTGCTGGGTCCAATGAAATATGTACTACAGTAATATTACTCAAATTAAAGTAATTTTTTAATTGTAAAGAGGAGTATTAATGTCTGCAATTCCTATGCTGTAGTATCCCTTTCACAATACAAAGTTCTACTATTACTTACTTAAATTCACTTCACCAGGATTGCCTTGAGGACCTGGGTCAAGAGGGCGGAGAGCGAGGTCACGGGGTCACACGCGGCTTCGCACCCCATAGGCTGGTTTCCTTGTGCCATTGGCCTCTCTTACCCATTTCCTTGCCTCTATATATCTGCTGTGACCAGCCACAGCCATTGCCAACCTCCCGCACTTTTTTTCTTCCCTTATCTCTTATTTATTCATTGTAGAAGCCATGCCAACCATAGAGAAAAGGATAAAGGATGACCTGACTGAACCCCTGGCAGCCAGGGGTTCAGTCAGGTCATCCTCTATCCTTTTTCCCTAACCCTTGAAACTATTTCATGGAAGAAGCTGAACACGAACCATGGAATTTCTCTGTTTGTATGCAAAGTGCCTTGTGAACCCACCTCCAGATTTTGAAGCCTTCGGAGTTTTAAGCATTTGTTGCATTAATTTTCAAACCAAAGAGATAAATCAATTAAAACACCAGCACATTCAGCTGTAAAACATACCTGAACTGCAGCGCTTGTGATTCCCTGACGACTAAATTTTTCTAAATGAAACACGGGTTGTTTTCAAGCAAAAGAGGAAGAAAGTTCTATGAATTGAACCACCAACATGCAATCAAAACTTGCTTGGTCGCATCGGAAAAAGTTTCACAAGCACAGTCCATTCGAAGGCATGATATACGAATCAATGAATAAATTAGCAACTAAACCTA